CAGTTTTCCGCGACCTCCTGACATTATTAGGCCGGCTGACCTTTAAACCGTGATAAATTTTTGTCACGTCCGCCTGCAGGATTCACCTGCTCTGAGCGTAATTCTCCTGATCCCTGTCTCTTTTACTCCAGCTTCACACTCCGGCACGCAGACGCAAACCCTGCATGGCTGATACTACACCTCCCTACTCACAACCCTGAGCACACAGGTGAATATGAATTAACCTGCTTACGGGTTGTTGTTTTTTTTTTTAGATTTAATTCTCGATGATGCCTATAGCGCGAAACTCTGGCTGACAGCATCCAGATTTCTCCCCACGGAAGGTCATCAAATCCTCGGGACATGAAATTACCAAGCTGGAGTGGTGGAGTGGAATGGATGATGACAAGATTTAAATGCTAATGAAAATTAGGTTGGAATGGGAGCGAGGAGGAATGTGTCACAGAGCAAGGTTATGATCTGAACGCAAAATCTTCCCCTTCAGGAGGGAAACGACATCAAGGGTTTGCTTCTGTGCAACTCTCTGCATTAGATCAAATCTTTTAAGTAGAAGAAATGTGTTTTCTACAATGTTACAGTTTCATTTCACTGCACTGAGTCCATAAATTACGTTTTTATTTCCCAACTAATGTGAAAAAACTGATCTTTTTGTGTTTATTAGCACTCAGAGGGAGAGCATTAACATGACCTTCCTGCTTGGGAGCAAAGTGCATTGATGTACCTGAACTTGAACTTTGAAATGCTAATCATCTTGTTCAGATCAATTCTGCTTTGAATTAAATTTACTTATTATGTCTATCTCGACCACAAATCAGCACAAACATGGGACAGAAATTGTATTTTGAGCCATTTTAATCTGTTTTAATGAAAAAAAAGGAACCTGGAATAAAACTTTATTTCTTTAACTCTTATGAAATGACTGTCAAATGTTGTCTGATAGCAAAGGTATTTCAACTTGATCTAAAATAAATCTACATGTTTCTGTGACTGTGAAGAGCCGGACCAAAAAAAGGGATTTATTTTGCATTTTAAAGGAAGAGATAACATCTGAAAGCATTGTAGCAAATGTCAGTTGTGTTTGAAATGCCAAGTGAAACAACTGTCCTGCAAACCAATAATCCACAAATCAGGAAAAAAGATTAGTTGCAGCAGAAAATACGTTTTGCTGAATATGAAATACGAACAGACAATTTGCAGCATATCCAGTAAAATTGTGTGAAAACCTTAAAGTAAGTTACGTCTTTTGATCTCAATCAGTAAAGTTCTTCATTTAATTTAATAAAAAGGATTAGGTTAGATTAGATTATGATTCGATTTTGCTCTATATTCGTATTTTCCTCACCAATATTTCCAGTGTTGTCTTCATTCTACATCACTACTAGCAAAAAATCAACAACACTAATCTGAAAATTCATTAATGCTTTTGAGCAACTTAATGACAAAAACATTTCCGGTCTTGTGCTCTTCTCCTTTACACAACCAGTGCCTGTGTTCCCCATTAAGCCGTCCAAGCCAGATTAGTCGGGGTTCCCATTTAAACTTTTAAGTGCATGTCATTCTGAGAAATTCTTGCCTCTCCCAGTTGTCAACAGTCTAATTAAATAACAGACAGAGTGTTGAGTCTTTCTCGCAGGCTGTGTTTTAGTCGTGGTCTCATATATGGAGTAATTAAAGCTGCAAGGCTTGGATAAAACACTATCCAAAAAAGGTCTCAGAGTCTATTAAAAAAATAAAAGTTAGACTCTGTTGACATGACTGTATTGATTTGTTGTGAGGTCAGAGTTAGTGCGCCCCACGGCTCCATTTGACAGCTCAAACTTCCTCCTGCGACTCCTCTTTTCATGCCTGCAAAACCTGATTTTTTTTTTTTTACCCAACTGGCAATTCTCTCAGGTCACCTGGCAGGTATCAATTGTGAGCATAAATCCATGTAGTACTGGGGGCAGGGGGGCGTTTCACACTGTCAGCGGGGTGGGATAGCGCTGCGGATCAACACGCTGGAAATAAGTCAACTTTATAGATTCAGTGCAAAGGTTCTTATTGTAGGAAGCACACAATAGACGCTGCTGACATTTGGTTGGGTGGTGAAGTGGTATTTGATTGAGCAACACACCGGAAACCTAATGCAGAAAATGGAATCGCTCAACCAAAGAAAAGGATTAAAATTCAGATGATCGCCCAGGCAGCCGCTCACTGCACAGGTGGGTCCTTCCCAGGAACCTAAACGAATTAATAAATCAAATAAACACAGAAATAAACCAACCATTGCAGCACATCACTTTGAGTAATAGCCTGTTATTCTGCTGCACATTTCATTATTTTATATTTTATGAAATATTGATTCAATATCAAATGCATCCTACTGATATAAAAAAACAAACCTGCAAGTGATTAAAAACCACTGGATAGTTTCAGGTGAGTGATATATGCTAAACTAAGATCAATTTGCTTCCAAGTTCATTTTTTTCCACATTTTGAATCTGAGTTTCTTCCACTGTCATCCCAAACAACACATGAGACACAAAATCAGCCTGGTTTCATCTCCAGCTCAGCCTTTAGGCTTAAATCCTGCAGGAAAGCTGCAGGCTGAGCTGAAGAGTGATGAAGAGCCCAGCAGTCTGGACAACAAGGAATGGCCAAACTTTGGAGAAGACTCATTTCTGTCTTATTGGCAAAACCAGATCTGCAGAAATATTTTGTTGATTATATTCTTTTCATATAAATTAATTAATTACATGCTAAGTTGTTCTCAGATTTTAGGAACTTATTTTCAGTGCATTTCATTAATATTTGCCCCTTACAGTGTGCCTGTAATGGGAACAGTGCATTACTAAATTCTGAAATGATAAATATTCTGTTGTCCTTGAAAATTAAAGGCGATAATTTCTAATTGATTTAATAGTCAATTTGCAAAGAAATACAAGAACAAATGGTGCAATGACAGCCATAAAAAAATCAAATTAACAAGGTGCTCATTCCTTTTCCACCCATGCAGGTAAAATCTATGAAACTAAATATTAAAGGCTCTCTTTGGAAAGTTACTAGGACTGTTTTGTTGAGTTTTTTTTTTTTTTTTTTTTTTTTTTTGCAAACATGTAGCTAAGAAACAAAAAGTTTCTTAGCTTTTGTTTTGGTTGATTGAAAGTTATTGACACACCTGTGTTTTGGTTCTCAAAAAGGTACAACTCTGATGATCATAAAGACTTTCTGCAAAATCACCTCATATCCCTGCCAATGCTGCACACCGGAGCTCTGTGTTGCATAAATAGATCTAAGTTTCAGGAAATATTCAAAATAACATCTATCTTTTCATTTTTGAGTTAAAAGCAACATTTTTCTTCCTAAGCAAATTAAATCTAGCAAAAGAAGATTTCCTTTCCATTTCCAAAGGTTCACAAATCACTAAAATGTATTTCTTTCTGACTGGGTTCCCAGAATATTACTTCATCTACTTTAGTTTAGTAGTTTATCTTCTTTAATGTTGATCAAAAAGTCAACTAAGCAATAGGTTCTTAAACAAAACAGTACAGAAGAAATCATAAAATATTATTTTGATGTATGAGAAACATAAAATTAGTGCCTCTCGATCCATGTTAACGTTTTATAAAATTAGTGTGCTGCAAGAAAACAATATTGCTTCCTTTGCTCTCACTTTGAGGACAATCTCTTTGAAGGAGCTCAGATCTTATTTGAACAACCATAAATTTATTTCAGTCAGTCTGTTTCTACAGGCTGACATGAAGCTTCACCTTCATTTGTCCTGCCTCTGCTGCGCGCCGAGAGCCTTCAGCACCACGGACAGGGCCGAAACCAGGAGAAGCAACGGTTTTCCCCCTAAAATTCACCTTTTCAGCGTGATCACTGTGAGAATGAAATCACTTTATTGATTAAGTTGGTGTAATTTGTGACTAATCTTGAGACAAATTGCTTGAAACCTTCAAGTGGCTGGTTGGATTTGCCCAGAGTGCTTTCAGGCTCACTTGTGTTGCTTCAGCTTCCAGTGAGAAACAGCAGCCTGGTGGCCCGTCACACAGTTATACCCCCCGGGGGCAAACACAACACGTTAACCCTTCACACAACAACGGCTGCTTGAATGTGCAGCACAGCTCCGTTTAATTACAACCACACAGAGGAGTGGGAAACTCGGTTTTGAACTTCAACAGCGCTGCTGCGGTCCCAGTGATGGGTATATTATGTCATTAGTATGCTGGCTGCAAATGGGATGCTGGTATGGTATGCAAATGAGGAGGCAAGAAAAGACGACAGCCAGATAAGGAGGGCAGAAGATGCTGGAGGTTGAAAAGAAGCCACAGTCCTTCCTCCCTGAGCAGACAAACCTTATTTGCATTTTATTTTTATTGTCCGAATTTGAAAAAGGAAAAGTTTAGTGCTGCAACTGTTATTTAATTATTTTTTGTTCAGGTCATCGTTCTAAATGAGATTTGAAATCTCAATTTGGTTAGATGAAGCAATAATATATGTTTATTTTATTTTTCCTCAAGTCTGTTGTATCTTCTGACAGATTTATCCCAGGATTGCTGTGTATTTAGATTCAACTCTTCAATTTTATATCAATTCTGAAGAAAAATGATCCCAATAGCATCAAAGCCACCATAATGTCCTATTAAATATAATTTTCCTTCCATTATGTTCAGCACTGTGACCTTATAAAAGCTTTATAAGATACAGTTTTGATCTTTTTGAACAAATTGATTGATTTTTCTTTCTATCTTTCACAGAGATTTGAGAATCAATATTTACATTTTTAACCAGAACATAGATTTTCATGTTTTTTAAACTTTACAGAAGCTGATCTGTCTGGTGTCTTTGGGAGAAGATTGAGATGGTTTGGTGAGAGGAAGGGAGAAGTTTTCATACTGCATGGGATCTGAAGCTGATGTCATTTCCTAATCACCATAATTGGACATCAATGCCAACGTCCAGCTGTGCAGAACGGCTGGATGAAACGCATAAGCGCAGGACTCGGTTCGGGAGAGAGGGGAGGTTCGGTCGGTGCCTCACTGATCCACTTGAAGCTTAATTGCTCGGACCTCGCAGTCTCTCGCTTTCACTCTCTCACAGACACACCTGAGATGAGCTCCCTGTGAAATCAGCTGGTTGGTTCCGATGCGGCCCCTCCTTCATCAGACTGGACCGACACATTAAATGGGTTAAGTCCGTCATCGGGAGCCGCGGGAGATCCCTTCCCTTCAATCGGCCGCTTGGACGCTCTGAGCTGCGGGCTCTCTCCTCTGGTTCAACAGTGCAGGCTGAATTTTAATCGTGGTTGTGTTTGTGGAGGGAGAACCAGCAGAACCAGCAGCAGCAGCAGCAGAGCATCTCAGACTCAGACCTGTGGGCGGCTGCGGGCGCGTCCGTCTGGGCAACACGGCTTCATCCCAACAACCCCACATCCTCAAGACATGGCGAGGAGAGGTGGGCTTTAACCTGAAACTAGATTCTGATTAATTCATGTTGGTCACCAGAGGTTTTCACCAAACCAGTTGATATTTTCCTGAACAAAAAAAAAAAAAAAAAAAAAAAAAAAAAAAAGAAAAGTGGGGGAGGCACATGACACACCGGTGGATTCCCGGAGCCACGTCCAGCACCGAGACTGAATGAGTCCATCTTCGGCTGTTGGACGGACTCCTCCAGCGGACAGGACGGATGCAAACGGACTAAACACACCTCGGCAGCTCAAATCAGCATCAGCCTCTCGGCCACCGGCGCACTAGCGGAGCGGGAGGGACTCTGACACCGGGGGAGCAGCTTCTTTGGCAGGTATGGCTGCGCTGGTTCCCTCTGAGTGAGGGGACTAAAGGTGCTGAAGGTGATTACCCACAGGTCGCTCCTCCTGATGCCCGCAGAGCCGAGCTGGTGGCTACACCTGTTGTGGATGCGTGGATGCGTGAAGCGTGCGTGTTATCACTTGCATCTGCACCTTATGCTCGTCTTAATGGCTGACAAACACGATGCGTGTGTCTGTATGTCCCACTATTTCAGCGTGTTTCTGGCCATCGCCGCACGGACGCAGGTGTGCGCAGCGCGCGTCAGTACGCGCTGCGTGGGTTTTGATCGATGTGATTAGGTGATTATAGGTCCATCACGAGCCATAAGTGTAATTACAGTGTAATTGTCTCTGCGCGCAGCGGGGTGTGAAGATCTCCATCATATGTCATGCTTGGTGGCTCTGATGTTCAGCCTGTAGCAGCTCGGCTCTGATAAATGGAGACTGACTGCAGTCCAAACCTCAACAGCATCACTGTCAACTCCACAGTCTCTGTCACATCCTGCTCAGACTCATCAATGCCAAGCAGGAGACAGACCTGAGGACAACTAGTGGACATCTGCCCACCTGGAGACCCAGTTTGTTGGTGCAAGCCAAGCCTTTTCTTTTCTTTTATCATGCGTGGGTGGGTGAGTATGAGAGAAGGACGGGTTGTTAGTTTATACACACACACACATATATTTGACATGTAGCAGCAGATTGAAGCTTCAAGCTGGGAGGCACCAGCCGTGTTCCCCTTTTCTCAAGGCCTCTGATGTCTGGTCTTTTTTCTCCCCATCTGGTGAAATCTGTCATTGTCATTTCAGACCACCTGAAAGAAGGGCAGCGATTCTCCTTTACCCAGCGCTGCTGCTTCAGCTCGTCACCAAGTTCAGTTGCAACAGAGTGAATTGTTCCACATGGTCTGATTTAAGTAGATTCTCAGTGATTACCTGTCTTGTTTTGATAACATGTTCACTCAACTTCACAGGCTAAAATAAAATTTTCATTTAATTTGTTGCACCACATTGATGGTTAAATCAAAACTGATGCCTTAACTGATCAACTGGTTTGATTGTTTTTCTCAGTCAGCATTCAGAGTTCACTACGGTGTCCCGCAAGGTTTAATTTGATGCTGTTTAGGCTTTATAATTAGAAACAACCTTAATTTCAATATCTAAACAAACAACACAAAACATGAACTAACAAGCTCTTTAACTCTGCACTGATCAGGCGTAACATTATGACCACCAAAATATCAAAAGGATGTATCTTTTGCATCTCAAATAGCCCTTACCCATAAAGCCTTGCCCCGCATTAACCCTTTCCACGTGACGTCACTCTCTTCGAAACCCCGCCCACTCCGCCATGACGGACGTCAAAATAACCTACGCGCTCCTGTTGAGCCTGTCAGAAAAGCCTGGAATCGCTTTCATTCAGTTGATTTCGCAGTAAAAATAATCACAAGTTGCTGCAAGACAGACCAGGGTGGAAAGACAAACTTGTCTGTTTATTGTAACTTTTAATGAGGAAAGATGAGGCGGCGATGGACAGCATACACGTTTTAAGTAAGTATAATTAGAAACATATCAAATATTGTGTCATGGAAACAATGCCCCAACATGATGTAGCCTAGCCTAACTGGCCTAACAGTCAAAACAACAACATTGTTATTGTTTATCGCAGTAACCTCTGGAACAATTTACTGTCCACCAAACTTTATCATGACATTTAGCCAATGTCAGCCTTGTCCTCATGTGTACTCCTAATTTCCTGCTGAATCAGCAAGTAATATGAACATTTTGGGGATTTTGCAACCCCAAAATTATTTGGGATGACCTTTTGCCTGTGAGAATGTCAACAAGAAATGACGTCAACACCTCACACATTTTATGTTTCATTCAGGGAGGATTTAAAGACCCTTTCCCCAGACTAAAGCAGAAATAGATTTATAGTTTTATTAGGCACACAGTCAGGTCTTCTGGTTCAATGTTTTAATGATGCCAAAAAAATCAGAACGAAAATCTTTTAATGAGCTCCCAGAGGGCCTGAAGGTGACTGAATGTTTCATTTTGTAGAAAACAAACTGCTGATGCATTCAAAATTTTCAGCCATCCTTTAAAATCTAAACTTTTAGCTTTTATATGGAAATACAGAATCACTGATTGTCTTGTCGATGGACTGTTGCAGCAGCTTATTTCCGCCGTTAGATTGATCCGAGTGACCGAAGCTGAAGTTGCAGCGAGGCGACTGCAGCGCCTCTCCTGAGGAAATGGTTTTATGGGTTTGATGGGTTTGGGAAAGACAGCTGAGATCACAGCTGTGCTGTGACTGCCTGGATGTGCCCAAGGTGACATCAGTATGGGACACTGACAATGTGTTGTTTTGCAGAAGGGGAAACCAAGGACACTGGGAATAATTTGATTTCCATTTATCATTTTATTATTGGTTTAAATTCTGTAAATCCAATAAAAAAGCACTTTTATTGTAGATGGTTTGTTGACGTTACACATGTCCTCCTTTGATCCATAAATTGACACTCCCTCATTTGTTTGGCTTTGTGGTTTGTGGCAAATGATAAATCACAGCGTCGGCGCTTCAACTTATGTTTCATTGTTTTCGTCACTTTGCTTGCGCTCTTATTGGTAAAGACATGCAGAGTAACATGCTGTTTTAGTCACTTGTTGCTTTAAATATTACAGGATTCAATGTAAACCTGCTTTAAACCTTCAATGTAGAAAAAGCTCAATGTAGTGCATAACTGGGATGCAGCAGAAAAATAAAAATCTGCACTGGTCTCAAGCTACTTCTAAAAGTCTTTGGAGTTTGTTTCAGTCAAATAAGATGAAGGACATTTGTGAGCAACATGTTTTTAAGCCACAAAATCTGGCTTCACTATTTTAACACATGAACATGTTTTAATCTAAACCGACCTGCAGTTTCAGAGAAAAATGTCTCTTTCACCTCTACTGAGGCTCTTAAAAGGTTTGATCCGGAGTGATACAGAAATAGAGAAAATGTCTCCTGCCACCATGTTTCCCAGGAGGAATGAAGCATTCAAAGAGATGCACAGTTATATGGCAGTTTCCAGATAGGCTAAAATATTTAATTTTGATTTCAACTAACAGGCGCACTTTCTCATTCTTGGATTTTGACAAAATTTTCTTCTTACCAGTCTTCCAAAGGCCAGATTTAAACATTTCCACAACTTTATTACTAATTTTTCTCAGAAGTTTCTTCATGTCTAAAAATTGATTGCGTATTTATGTATAATGTGGGACATATTTGGATGATACAATTGATTTATTAGTCTTCTGTTTGCCTCTTTTCAAACTGGACATGGACGTTTTCTTGTTTAGGTTCAATTATTATTATGATTTTTTTGGTTTCTTAATTACTTAGACATTTTTTATCTGAATCAGTTGCTCTGGTTTTTATTTTTGAATATCAGATAAAAAAAAGGGGGCTTCATACAAATGCATATTATAATTTTATGGTCTTTTTGTTTTTTATTCTGTCTGGGTGAGACCAACCTTTACATATTGAAGTTTGTGGTTGTGTGAAGAAAGTTTTGACAGGTATTTTTACTTTTGCAAGGTTCTGCATATCAAATGCATGTTGAGCTCAAACGCAGGTCCGGTTTGTGTTATCCTATTAGTGCTGTCTGGCTGTGATGGTCTGTGGATCTGCAGCTGAAAAAATCACAGTTCTGACCCCTTTCTGCCATTCTGGTAATGCATTTGTCTCTCTGGGGAATAATATGAGGACTGTGGAAACGGGCTGATTCTCCCCCTCAAAGCCTGTTCTCAGTCTTTTTTCCTTAATTTGAGCCTCTCCGTTGGGTGTAAATTTGTTATCACTGCAGGCTGGAAACTGGGCTCCCTGGCGTTCAGGTAACCCCACAGTTCAAACACCGTCAGCCAGCCCACTTTCGTTCGCTCTCTTCACCCCGCTCCCTCCATCCCATCCCACCTATCAACCCGCATAGCCGTCTATCTTTTCGCCGCTCTTCTTCCTAGACTCAGGCAGTGGAGGCAATGGAGCTTATCAGATGGAGGCTTTCTGCTAAAGACTGTGTCTGTCAGCTCGGATGTCCATCTCTTTGACAACGTTCAGTGATTTCACAAGTTGGTTTTAAAAAAAATACCAGAGAATAGAAAGAAAGATAACAGGCATTGACAGAGAAAGGAGAAAGGATACAAACGGGACAGATTTTGTGATTTTTGTGTGTGTGCTGGATTCTGCAGTGGCTGAGTGGGTGTTTTCTGTTCGGGGAACAATTATGAGAACAGATGGACACTGAAATACCCAAATTACTTTTATGTCATATGTCTAATTAATTTGTCTATTAATTATAATTAATTTGCACACACTGTTTAATTTAAGGTAGCTGAGTAATTTGGCAATTGCAGCACTGATGGAAATAATCCACCAATTTATGTTATTAATTTAGTGACGAGAAATGGATTCGCTACGGATGAAACATATTAAACCTTAAATGTGTAAATGAGGAGTTTTCATGCATTTATTTAATTCTTCAGTAGTTATACAGCAAAGTTATTTTCAGATGAGAAAAAAATACATGCAAAATAATGAGAAAGCAATGTACCTGGTGTGTTGTTAAATATTAATATTTTTGGTTAAATGCTATTACTAAATTAGTTGGCAATTATTTCAATAATCAAATAATCATGATTAATCTAATTAATTGTCTTTACCATATAAGAGAGTGTCATTCTTCACAGCTGTTACTTCAAAAATAACAAAAAAGTCCAGGTTATAGTTTATAAAAACACTCAGAGACAAAAAGCTTTTAATCTTTTCAGTTATATGTGAAATGTTGAAGTAATATCTTAAGAAATCAGCCAGGAAGTTTAAACTTTTTAAATATTTATGTCATTTTGAGATAAGAAAATAAACTTTGTATTATAGTTAACAGAAAGTCACAAGTTATATTAACTCAAAAGTGCAGTGTACATATAAAAAAAACCTGTGGTTTATTCATTTTTATTTCTTCTACAGTAATTGTGTGCTGTGCAAGCAGTGACTGTGACTCTTCCCTTTGAATTGATGTGTCCAAAATAAGGTTTGGACACAGTAATGCTTCTACAATTAAAGTTATATTTTTATTGAAGATTTTTGCACATCATTGCCACAGTTGTAAATGATTCTCTTTCAAATCTGTGATTTGTTTTGGAGTCCTCAGGCTTGAAAAACACTTTAGACTGCAGGTCATTTACCTTTTGACATTTTTAATATGACAAATAAAAAAACACAAAGCTTTTCTTAGGTGAAATAAACATTGCGTCCCTTGTAACCTGCTAAAACAAAGACATGCTAAAAAAAATTACCTTAAAAATATTTGAACTGTTTCTTTTTATCTTGCAACGTAGTTATTATGTTTGTTTACGCTCTTATTTTTTATTTTAGGAAGATTTTTTATCATTTTTATTTAGGTTCTGATTCCTAAATGTGCTTGGACTGTTCAGCCAAACATTATATGTCTGCAAGCACATTTACATAAACATTGAAAAGCAACTGTGACATAATTTCCTGTTTTTCTAGTTATGTAATCGTTGGTTGGTAGTGACAAACAAAGGCAGAATAGCTGTTGGCATGGATAGTAAAAAAAAAAAAATCTTACAGCTAAATTCTGCAAAACAGCAAAATGCAAAAATGCTGCACAACATAAAACTTAGTAGATAGAGAAAGTTGGAAAGATAGAGCAATAAAAACACAAAAGCAAACAGAAGCTACAAATTAAGCCTAACACAATATACTCAGAGCAAAACTTCCACATTGTTTTATAATGTTTTGAGCACTTCATTTCCTTTCAAAAACAAACATGTTGAATGAATATTTTGTAATCAAGACCTGACAGGGGTTTGAACAATTTTGGAGTCAAACGTTCTTCGTCATCTGGTTCAAACATGGAGAAAGTCGCTGCTGAAGCTAATTATGCCACACTCAGGAGGACCGCTTGGAGAGGAGTCATTAAACTCGCTCCGCAGGCGTCAGCAGATGTTTTGAAATGACAGGGAAGACAAAAAAATAAAACCTGCTTTTTTAAATTAAAATCTTTATGCTCACAAAAATACCCTGCAAGAGTCACTTTAGTGTTCATTCAATTGAACAGATGATCTTTGTAACCAGAGTGCTCACTTCATGCATTTCCTGTGTTGCTTTTTAGGTCCGTTTTAATTTTTTGCTTTTAAAAATTTACATTTTTCAACAAAATCTTCCAGCTATCATCATTGTGTCATCATCCATTGATACACTTCTTATTTTATAGGGTGACAAAATGTTTTATTTTTTTCCAGATTTCAGGAATTTTAGGTGTTTTGGGCAATTTGCCTGGATTCATAAATCATTGGGCTACAGAAAAGTTCAGTTTTCTTAATTCATGTTATTTAGGCTTTGAATTGGTAAATTTATTTAAAATGCTGCTACTTTTCCTGCATCTCATCTGCAGTTTCCAGATGAGGAACCCAGCAATAAAAAATATCAAATTCAAACTATAATGTATCCAACTGGAGGTCACTGCAGGGGGCAGCTATCGAAAAGACATTTTCTTGTGTTTCTTGTGGATTTGTATGCTATAAATGCACACAGACCACTGGAGTGGACACTGGAGCATAATGTAATACACTGCCAACTACTGGCCATCCACTGCAAATGCAATATGGCCGACCAATGGAAAAGCAACTCAAGAATATCCAGTCCCTCTTTCTGCAGTAGAAAAATATTGACATCAAGTAAACCCTAAAGGCTAATACTACTGATGTATTTTCCAAATAACAACTTTGTAGAAAACTATAACAGATTGCTTAGAAAATAAATCCTAGATTTTTTTTACAAACTTTCCCCCCCACCTTTTTTAGCTTCAAAATCACTTTGGAAAAACATCCTGACATAAAGGATCACAATTCATGAATAAAAGAGTAAATTTGTCAAGTTAAGCTTAATTGAACTACTTGTTATCATTTGAAGCAATTCCATTAAGTTGGTTAAGCTATTATAATAATAATCTGATGTTCTTTAGGTCCGTTTGAAATTTTTCTTTCAAAAAAATTTGCATTTTGTTAACAAAATCTTCTTACTGTCATTGTCGTGTCATCATCCAAGAATTCGTATTTTATGGGGTGACAAAATGTTTTTTCCAGATGACAAGAATTTTTAGGTATTCTGGTCCGTTTGCATGCATTTACAAATAACTGGGCTGCAGAAAATTTTAGTTTTATTTAATGTTGATTATTATCCTCATCGGCATTTCTGCTTCTCCAAGAGGAATCCAGCTGCTAAAGCATGGAATTGAAAGCATAAAGTATATTAGTGGATGTACTTATCTGCTTCCTGGCAGATGCTTTTGTCTTGAGAAGAGACGCATGTTGCTGTGGTGACCTGAGCGAGTTCAGTGTGCAGGTGAGGCATGTTTGACGCAGCAGCAGATGGACTGAAGAGCAAATTTCCTCTGAGTTTACGAGCTGTGTACACATTAATACCACTTCTCACACAGAGTAACACACACTGCGCTGTCTGTCACTGTCTCATTGAGACACTCAGCTTTCACACCTGGTACCCTTTACAGATCAGCAGCAGATCAGATCCCACTTTTTGTTTCGCTGCAGCTTTGATTCTGAGATCCACACCAAAATTAAGGTCAAAATCGTCTCTTGCAAGAACACAGAAGTGGTTGTTTTAGTTACCGTAGGTGTGCCCACTTCTATCCCTTACCTTTCTGTCCTGGCTCCTTCGGGATTTCTTTCTACCCCTTACCTCGAAATCTAAACTTAGGATGAATGTGACATGAAGCGTATCACCAAAACGCCAGACTGTGACACGTGGAGCAGGACAGCGCTGACAAATCAAAGAAGAGCTGCTCTGATCATGCTGCAGCTGTGGCGTCCTGCCACCAGGCCTGAGGTCTCATGTCGAGGTGTCTGGTGGTGGGATTGTCCTGCGGGACGGGGAGTCTGCGAGTTTGACAGGGAAGGTCAGAAGAAACAACAGCTGACGCGATTTTCTCCTCTGTTGAACAAGAAGCAGTAGGAGGAGAGAGGGAGCCGGAGAGACGTTTCTGAAAACGAACTCGGTGTTTGACACTAAGCTGCGACCTTTACAATCTAAGGAGCCATTTTGCTCTGAGGACGGCCAAATAAAATTCACTAAAGCTGCAAATGCCACATAACTTTTTGAAAAAATTTTTTTTTTTTAAATAGAATACTCAAAATGAGAAACATAGAAAGCACTACAATGCCTTCAAAAATTATTATTACAAATATTAAACAGTATGGGGGAATTTTCCTGCCATAATTTGAGAGAACCCATTTTCAGTCATGATTGCAGGATGCTTGAAAGCTGGACTCACTGTCTTTCTTCTCAAAACTTGTAATGCTTGTACCCAAAACTTCTGCTCTCTGTCAAATATTCACTGTTCTTTCCCAAATCATCCTGGTGCTCAAATCTTGTCTCTGCTGAGATCAAATCTCTGCTTGCAGACCTCTCTGTTCGCTTATGGCAGAAAAATGTCCCTATAATACAGTCACATGGAACATTTCTGAACAACAACGTGGATTTGCTTTGCAGGGAAAAGATGCCATTCCACCATGTGCGGGCAGGCCTGCTCTATCCGGACAACTACCTGAGCAGCTCCCTGACCGAGGGCAGCGAAGCCTTCCAGCTCACCAGCCTCTCCACTGAGGAGCTGGGAGGTGAGTGTGCCAACCCAGCAGCAGAGAGGAGGAGGAGGAGGAATGTGTGGATGCAGAACAAAGTGTGAGGTACAGACAATTAATGGGTCGCTGGTGGAACAATGCAGTTACAACGCTCCAATTCTCTAGAGGTGAAGATTTTCCATTTAGCCATTCTGTCAGAGCTTGACTAGATGCATTGGTTTCCAATTATGGAGCTTAGGAAATAAAATCAGTCAGACGACTCAGAAGGAAGTGGAGCTTGACAGAACACTAGTGTATCTATGGTGGTACCCTAATTAGTTTCCCATTCATATTTTATCTTGTGTGAAAATTGATGTTACCACTCCCCACAAAAGTTGGTTTGGATGTAATAAATATTACGGCAGAGTAACTGCGAACATCAATAATCGGCGCTAAAGTGGAGCCATTTGCTCTGTAGTTAACCAACCAAAAATGACTTCCGGGGCTTTATTTCTTATGGCTCTGCAGTGACAGTCAGTCACGGTGACGTTAAACTCAACAAAGCCAACGCAGCGTTGTCTCTAAATTTAGGTCAAATGCTGCAACAAGCACACAATGCCTCACAAAGCAGGCTGCAAACAAATTTTAAGGTTTGCTCAAAAACAGTTGAGTAAAACTAAAGCTGAGTCTGGATATAAATATCCAGCACAAAATGTAGACGGCCTCTCTGGTTCTGCTTTGATTAGCGTTTCCTGCCGGCGTTGATTGGCCTCACAGTTTGACTCTGCTTGAGCATTAAGTACAACCGCATCATTACATGACATTCAGATTAATATCACATAAAGTTGTAGCTGATGAGAAGACTTGATGGTGTTTTCTGTAATGGCTCTCTATGATTACGGTGGTGACTGGTTAATAATTATGAAAATTAATGGCCTGGTTATAACATTTTTTAAGAAAAAAACAAGCTGTAGTTTGTCTTAAAATCAGTTTGATTGGAGATTCACTGTTCATTTTGTGCTTCTTGATCAAAACAAAGAGTTGCAGCAGGCGGTGAGTGTTTCTGTTAGCGGGTTGCTCACACAGCTAATCCTGCCACAGAGTGAGGACTGAGCATGAAAGTGAGTCTGGCTGTTTGTTGTTTGTGTTCATACACGAAGCCCTGCTGCAGTTTGAATGAACGCTCTCTGCGCTTTGCTATGAAGTACTTTGTTGTACAAATCTTTTAATCCAGTGTCCCTGTTGCATGAATTGACTCAGCCCAGTCTGCAGAGACAGTTTTTCTGCACCGAAAGCCAAACTGCACCACTGACTCAAATGTGTCATCATGACTGGTGTGTTTTCAGGAGGCCTGGTCATGTGCGGAGCTTCATCTCGTTCACGTCTCTTTGAATCTTTCTGCATCTTTTCTGTTACAACCACAAACGTTTGTTTTTGCACCAAGTCCCACATACTGTGAGGTGAAAGGAAACATTTTTTTCATAAAAACCTGAAACATGTTTTTTTATTCAGCCACTATAATGACTTCAACATTTCTATGCACCAGCTTTGAATTTTTTGTCTCGTCACAGATTAGTTTAACTCAATACATATTCGTGTGTTAAAATGGCCTAGTCAAACTCCAGACGTAAAAAACTCCGTTCTAGCGCTATTATGCTGTCTCCACCATGTTTCACTGCAAATCTTGATGATGCACAAGGACAGTTTTCTGCCATACACACTATTTTGCAGGAAGTTCAAGTGTTGAAACTTAGTTACATCTAAGCACTGCACATTTAAACAGAACTTTTAATTCAACCATGACTTTCTGTTTTTTATGTTTTTATTAGCTATTTGTAGTTACACTAAATTAAACTCTGTCTGTCTGTTTGGTTTATTACTTTTAGAAATTGTGTAGCGCTCATTACCGTAGCTCAACATTTAACTTCAAACTTTTAATTTCAGAAACAAATCTAGAACAAACTTAAAAAGAACCATCTACTTTATAGAACCAAACATTTAGAACCAACATCTACTTTTATGCTTTTACCTTTTTGTATGTCTTTTGTTTTGTTGTTTTGTTTGTATTTTCTTCTAATTTTTGGAAAGCACTGTGAATTGTCTTGTTGCTGAAAATGTGCTATGTAAATAAAATTACCTTGCCTCACCTAAACTGCACACAGTATGACTTGTTACTATTTAGTAGATTTCTGAAGACATATGCTTGCACTTGTTTTAATTTAGGAGAATCAGAGTAAACGAGGCAGTGCAGATTCACGGTTATGCAACAGTTTGTGTTTGTTCACCTCACAAAGTCCCCATAAAAACATTGCAGTTCTTGGTTCTGAAGTAACAAAATGTACAAAACGAGAGGATAAAAGTTTTTTTGCAAAGACTGCATGAACTGCATTAAGTTTTTTAAACTCTAAGGTGAAGCTGCAGTGAGCCAGAGATCCTCAGTAAACAACAAGTTTGTTTGATGTGGACAAAATATCCAGGCTGGAAGCTGTTGCTGGCATAAGAAACGTCTAATCCCACTTCAGAGAGAGCCAGAAATTTCTCGTAGGTTTATCTGTTTGTATAGACAGATGAATTGTTAATAACGCCTCGAAAGAACCGCCTCAAACCTTTTCTGTAAAGCATCTCTGCTTTTCATATGCCAACATGTGCAGACCTGGGAGCTTCCTTTGCAACACCCGACCATTGGTAGAGGCAGTAGTGTAACACACACACACACACACACACACACACACACACACACACACACACACACACACACACACACCCCCACACACACACACACACACACACACACACACACACACACACACACACACACACACTGTAGAGCAACACATCAGGGACCAGCACATTTGTACCCTATTGAAAACATGGTCCCCTCTCTTGGGCTGCATACCAATGGATCGCAGCGTGTTCTGGGAGGCTGCACGCTCGGCCTCGTTCGGAGCGCCTCACCTTGCCGGTGATTCTCAAGCCAAATAAAAAATGAAAAAACGAGAGGCGGCGGAGTGGACGACAAGTCCAGTTATGAGGGGGATATTTACAGGCTGCGACTGAAATTCTGCTTAAAGCTCCAACATTCAGACTGAAAACACAGACAGACAGAGATTAGAAAGATGGATGGATGGATGGATGGATGGTTGGATGGATGGATGGATGGATGGATGGATGGATGGATGGATGGATGGATGGATGGATGATGGATGGATGGATGGATGGATGGATGGATGGATGGATGGATGGATGGATGGATGGATGGATGGATGGATGGATGGATGGATGGATGGATGGATGGATGGATGGATGGATGGATGGATGGATGGATGGATGGATGGATGGATGGATAAATGCTCTGAATTTATATTGTGCTTTTCCAGTCATTTTGACCACTCAAAGCACTTTACACTAGAGTCACATTCACACATTTATATATCAATACGCAGATCGGGAGGCAATTTGGGTTAAGTGCCTTGCCCACTGACATGTGGCAGGAGGAAGCTGGAATCGAACCTACAACCTTCCGACCACAGAGCAGTCGCCCCAGATGAATGGATGATGGATGCACATGTAGTTTTGTCTTGAAATAAGGCATAGGATCTCATTTTCAGAAAGGTATATTGATGAAAAAGTGTTTATTTCACTTGTAATAAGATATTTTTCTTCTGTCATGAGTGAAATAATCTCCCAGTGGAACAAGAACTTTTTCTTCAATACAAAAGAATTATTGACTTAAAACAAGCTCCAATATCTTCACAAAAGGTCACTTATAAGTTAGTTTTTCTTATTTAAAGTAAAAAGATATGTGCACTAGAAACTAGACCGATCACTAGTTGAGATTTTGTGTTTTTGCAGTGATTGACAGGTTAAATGTTGCAAGTTGTGGCCATTCAGTGAGAACGCTCGGAGTGTTTCTGCAGCACAAACACACTCATTCCCTCTGGGTTGTGTGCATTTAATCACAACTTCTTGTTAGGAAGAATCCTCATTTTGCGTGGGAACACGGAGTCGGAAGCGTTCTTGGCAGAGATGGCGGAGATTGTTCTTTGTGGAGGCCCCTCGAGGTTTGGAAGACATGGCGAGTATAAAAAAGATGCGAGGGAGACAAGAAAAGGGACATAGACAGGAGAGAAGGAAGGAGTTGACGCTCACTCTGATTTGTCTGTGAGAAAAGCTCCTGCACTTACAGGTAATGGGGAAGCCTGTGATCTACTCCAGGGAGTAGGTCTGCATCTCCATGCAGACCGGCTAAAATCCACCAGTCACTAATTAGATGTTTGAATTAAATGTTATAAAGGTGATAGAACATGTCATTTTTGCACAATAAGACTGGTGTTTTGGTTTGTGGGTTATTTATGGCTCATAGGTTTTCTCAACTAAAGCTTCTTTACTTCCTGTGCCGCAGTGCCACCATTTGCTTATAAATAAGGTCATTTTTGTTTAAAAGATGTTTGAGTGGCTACAGTTACACCGTGGTGGCTGTTGAACAGTTGCAGTTGAAGTTTATTTGTAATTCAACTGTCTCTAAATTTTTAATACCCACAAGCAATGTCTTTTCCTCTATTCCCAAAAAGCAGAGTTTGATTTTCTGAAAATGTTGAAAACACTAATTCAGTCTGTAGAGACTCACAGAGAAAAGCAGCAGTTAGAAAGTTTTAGTTGACCCAAAGTTCTTAGGCGCTCGGAACCGGCAGAAAACGTGCTGAGAATCGCCATGAGTTAGGATGATCGGCTCGGGGTGAAGCTCAGGGCAGCTGGCGGTGGAGAGGGAGTCTGGAAGACGCCCGGGAGGCGGGATGGAGGTGGGTCAAAGGGCGGCTGAAGCAGGTGGATCCGTGGTTGTTTGGCGTTTTGAAGGAGCTCCTGCCTGGTGATTGGCTGCAGCGGAGCGACAGTCTGGTGCTGATTGGCTGAGGCGTGGTAATTGATGCCAGTAGGCTGAAGAGAGTCTCACAGCTCATATTTATGCCTGTAGGCTACATTTGAAAACATTTGTTACAAATATTTATGTGGGTTATTGTTTTCTTTATTTTAGCTCCAGGGGTCGGGTCCCCTGGGGGTTCAGCTCTGGTCACTCACAGGGCAGCAGCTCTGCAGACGCTGCAGACCACTAAAAGTGTTTTTACACTTGAGGTTAACTGCTGCTGTGATTTAGGACTTGTTTTTCTGTCTACCAACTCCATTTCCCGCTGGAATCGGTCCCGCTCCAAAGCTAATTTGTCTGTCTGCTGTTTGGTCCCAAAGATGCTGCTGGTTGTGGGAGTTTTATCACAGAAAACGTGTTGCATCCCACAACAACCTTAAGAGCAGCGAGACTGAACCCAGAAAAATTAAATGGTGAGCTGGAACTCTGGAAAGTTACGGTATAACTTTCTGATTGGGAAATGTTTTAAGGACACAGGAATTAGGTCAGCAACCCTCACAGAAGAGTATCGATCAAAACCCATTTACGCTTTTACAGCAGCTGTAGCAACTGGGCATAAAAATATACCAGAAAGGAGGCAAATTATCTGTAATGTTTACGAGAACTGAAGTCAATAAGAACATGCAAATTATACTGTAAGACTGTTTTCTTTGTCATAATGACAATAGACTCATCATAGCATTTAAAAGCTCTTAATTGATGCGCTAAAAGTTAATGTTACCGCCTGCTGCATGATCTATATATAAAAAAATGCTTTTCATTTCCCAGATTTATTTAGCATTAATCAACAATATTTATACCTAAGTTATGGATTATGAAAAAAATCAGTGGGAGCTGGTAATTAACATAATCAAGAAGTAATGGTATTAATAACTCTGCTCAGGTCTATTTTAAAATGCTTTAATTAGATAAAAAGTTACATCAAAAATAAAAACCAAGATAATTAAATTTCTCTGGAAACTACTGCTGAGAGAGAAAATCACCTAAATAAAAAAATTATTTAGATAAATCTTAGCAACGACATAAAAAAGGATTTGACAGTCTCATAAAAACACATGACATTAAATCATTAATCTTATTGATTAGAGTAATGAGATTGGAGTACACTTATTTTACAGCAATCTTCAAAATGACACATTCAGATTGTTGTTTCTCTTGGGTTCTTCTGGTTGTTTCTCATTTTGGATTCAGAAGCTGGTATATAAATAAAACAATAATGCTCCACATTAGGCAAACGCAGCTAAAGAAAGGATGCAAAAAATAAAAACAGTTGCAACAAAAAATAAAAACAGTTACAACAACAAAAAAATAAAAAACAGTTACAACAACAAAAAAATAAAAACAGTTACAACAACAAAAAAATAAAAACAGTTACAAAACTTTTTGACTTGATTTGGTAAAACCTTTTGCTGGTTTTAATTGGATCATCCTTTTAAAAATACACTGCATGTATTTGTAAAAATGTTTATTTTAAATGTACATTTTAAATATATATACAGATGTATATAAACAATACTTTTCTGAAATTGTACTTTTGGTAATATTTTCACATAGATCCTGTGTATATTTTAGTAAACTTTAATATTTGTAAGTGCTATGTAAATACTGTCTAAGTATATAAAACACTTTCAGTTTAGGCTAATGAAGTATGCTTCAGGTTCTTAATAATCTTTTAATTAAAAGAATTAAACAATCCCTGTAGGGAAACTTGCTGTAAAGTTGTTTAACAAAGTAATAAATAACTTTCAAATTTTTTGCTGTTTTGTGTTTTTAATTTTTACTTTTTTTTTTTCTGACCAAGTCAGAACAAAGCTATTCTGTATCTGGAGATTTTGGGGAAGGAGCCATCAGGAGGTTTAGATCAGCCAATAAAATGATAGGAAAATTAATTCTGTAATATTTTTCAGACGAGAGAGAAACCAAGAATATAAAGAATCCATCTTAGAAGATAAAACTCTGGTGGATGAAAAAATGAGTAACTATTTCCAGTTTGATGCAATAATGCAATCATGGCTTATTTATGGAGTCTCAGTTGATAAATTACAAAAGTTAAATTAATTCTTTGACATGCATTTACAGATTTTCAAACAACATTATAGGTGACAGAAACATGAGCAATTGAGATGAGAATTTGTTGTTTTTGAGTTTAAAAGTAATTGGAGAATTACAGTAATTTCAAAGCCCTGCTTTTATTTCTGAGAAACAAATAACAACGGTATTCTTTGAAAATAAAACTCCTCACCAAGACGAGCTGAACATTTACTGATCTCTAAGAGAAAACAAAGACTCGCAATTGTTCAGTCTTCTGAAAATCAGTCATGCAGCACTGAGAAAGAAAAACATCTTGCACCGACAACAAGACAAAAAAAGATTTGACATTCTCATAAAAACACTTTAAAATCACAAACGAAACAAGGACATATATCAATCGAGTGCAATAAGGGATGTGCTGCAGATAATTAGAAACCAGATTAGATTTAAATTATGATAAACGGGAAAGATGTGTACCATTAATCTCCGCCACAAGAGAAACCACCAAACATATGAAAAAAGCAACGAGCAATTATTACTCATCAGAAAGAAGTGCAAAGGGGAACACCAATAAAGAAAAGATATTTTCATCCCCTGTAATAAGACGCCTTATAAAACATAGCATGCACTTAGACGTGTGAGAAAGATCAACCAGACTCTCTCACTCCAGATGCTCCATGACAGAAAAATGGCAGCATTTCACATTTTCCATATTAAATTAATAATGTGTATTTTCACAAATTCGTAGAATGAAAAGAAGCACAGACAGCGTCAGCACTTTGCGGTGACATGTTGTGTTTTTATCCTGCGCAGAGATCCGTGAGGCATTCCGGGTTTTGGACCGAGATGGGAATGGCTTCATCTCCAAGCAGGAGCTGGGCATGGCCATGCGCTCCCTGGGTTACATGCCCAGCGAAGTGGAGCTGGCCATCATTATGCAGAGACTGGACATGGATGGTGAGGCGCCACATAAGGACACACACTCCGGGGGCATTTGCAGAGCGTGCAGAACATTCTCAACCTGTTTTAATGTCTTTCTGCTTGCAGATCTTTGTTTTCTTTACTTCTGCATAGTATATGGAGGAATAATTTGCTTCATCAGAGGTATGGAGTGTTGAATAAGAATACCTCTTTCACTTGCTTTGGGTTCAAAAATTTAGATTGAACCTGTTTCCTTCAGAAATGCTTCATTGAAACACCTGATAAATGACCTCCAGTGCAGCAGATTTCAGAGACAAATTTCCCCCGAGACAATAAAGAACGAATCTATCTGCTCCTTGTACTTAAAAGTTGCGCTCTACTTGTAAATTCACAGCAGATTGCAATTACTCCAAGGCTGAACTTGCATCAGAAAAAACCCATTCAGTCTTTCAGCGGTTTCTTATCTGGCTGCTCTCGGCTCTTGATTTCACCATTTGCCATAAATATCAAAGGTCGAAGCTAAAAGCTTTTTGCTTTTGCGTCTTTGAGTAACCGGCCACCTGAAAGCAGCACTACCTTTTGTCCTGAAGTGAGATGCTATCTTTCTTAAAATCCTGTCCACCTCTGACTTTCACAGCCAACACATCACAACCTGCACTGTTTTTTATACTGATTTTATGTCATTAAATATCAGCAGCACAATTAACAGTATATCTTGAACTATCCTTCTGTAAGCCTCAATTATTTCAGATTAAATGGGCATCATTTAATCCGGCTTTGCGCTGATGAACATAATGTTAGACACTGTGCAGCAGGAGACACACAGATAGGTCTGTGATCTCTCTCCTGTCAGTTTTCATCTTTCCTGGAGCTTTCCAGTCGAGGCTGGGTAATTGGGCAACGACTCAAGGCAAAATCCAATTTCTTTGAAACCGCTGTTCAAAGTAAACCTTACCTTTTGTAGATGTGGCCAAAATAAAAGCCTCTCCAAGCTGGAGAGATCTTATGCAGAAGAAGTATTTGTTGCCAGGCTGTGTTTTGTGCAAATGGTAAAAGATTTTTTTATGCTTAGGCAAAAGATATTAGGAATTCACCTGATATAATTATTGATGACTTACTAAAGTAATAATATCCATTGAACCTAAGCCACAAAAATTTGAGTTTTATTATAAAAACATGGCATTAACCAATACAAAGTTTTACCTATTTCAAATTTTGTGTTTTTCTGCTTTATTTTACAGATAAAAAAGAAAAAAGTGTGCTTTGTAATGTATTCAGAAACCTCTTGCTTTGATATGAATATTATATTTCATATCCTTAACAGGATTACCAGGAAATCCTTAACAGGTGGATGGATGGAGCTTTGTAAACATTATTAAAAACCATTTGAACCTGGTTTTTTAAATTTTATTTCATGCTTCTTTACACGAGTAGCCCACTGCAGTGAGGTTATAAATGTTGATCCCTGAACTCTTCCTGAGTTAAAACATTAGTTTTGTTGTTTTTAAATAAATATTAACTTGTTTTCTTTGCATTAGTTGAGTTCTGAAAGCGCTGCGTCTTTTTCATTCATTATTTTTCTATTTCTCATTTTCTGCAAATAAATACATTTTTGCTTGTAATTTTGGAGACATGTTGTCAGTAGTTCATAGAATAAAAGAGCAATGTTAATTTTAGTTGGACATATACAAAGTAAAAATAAGAGAAACTGATTATTTTAAGTGCTCTCTTCGTTTTTTTCCAGAGCTGCTTGTACTTTTACATAATGGTTACTAGAGGTTATTAGAGATTATTTATTCTCAGGTCAACAACCTTATATACATACAACCAGAGTTATTTTGGAATTGCTTAAATCAAAACAAAGCGTTTTTGAATGGCCTAGTCAAAGCCAAAGATTTAGCTGTTTCCTGATTCTCACCATATATGAATGAGTTTGAGCTCCTTTTGTAGATAAAAATAAGCAAAGAATCCAGTGTATAATAGTGAAAAATTACTGTAATTATTAAGTTTGAAAACCCAGTGTTATCTTCACCATTACATTTGTTGTGTCACATAAAATCTTGCTAAAATTCTCTGCAGTTTGTATTTGCATTGTGTTAAAAGGACTTGGATACTTTTGCAAGGCAATTTACTGAACAGTTTCCAACAGTGTTGCTTTCCTGCTGAGGTTTTTTTTTTATGCTGCATAGTATAACTTAATGAACCAAAAGTTAAATAAAGCTGACAGTCGTGATCGCAGCATCTGCAGGTTAACATCTATAAATCTGGGTGAAGATGATAGTGTTTACAAGTTCCTGTAATGAAGCTGTTCAGGCTGCTGATGGGTATCATTAACTACATGCAGCAGCAGAATACATAATGCAAACATTTTTACGAGTCGTGTCTTGTGAATTTAAATTAGCCAAATATTCCCTGATCTGTCATAAGGACACCTACGCGTAAAATCTTAAAGATACACGTCTGAGTTGGCGAAAGTTTACTGTGTGTTGATAGTGTCACAAATCAAAGCATATTTAGTTATTATTCTGTCTTATTTTTTTATTGCTGTGAATATGTTCAGCCACAAGAACCATGCTGCAGGAGCCTCTCATGTGTTTCATCCTGCAGGGGACGGCCAGGTGGACTTCGAGGAGTTCATGACGATACTGGGGCCGAAGCTGCTGTCGTCCGACAACAGAGAAGGATTCCTGGGCAACACCATTGACAACATCTTCTGGCAGGTGAGAGACAAACCTTCCTCCCACCTACGGGCAGACGGTCTGCTCCTCATCACTCAGGCACCCTGTTACTTACTGACTCCATCTTTTTCACCTCATCTAGCTCACCTCTGGCTGTGCATTTCAGCATTCAGAGGAGTGCTTACATGCTTAAGCTCGGCTCTGGTTCCTGCAGGGACTCTGCACCGACACAAATAAGAAAACACACACACACACACACGCTCCAGTCCCCCCTACCTGCTCCTGCTGCCTGCCTGCCAGAAATTGTTTTTACTTAGAGACTTGAAGGAAAGGAGACCTGCAGAGAATTTACTGTGGTTTTTGTATGCGGGAGTGAGTCTGGGCTTGAGTGCGTGCGTGTGTGTATTTATCATTCACGGTGTTGAAGGAGGCATTGCCAAAATAAGGACTTTAGAGATGTAGCACTGTCTCAAAAATGTCAGAGCATGTTTGCGTTCGAGAATCCAAACTGGGCATTAGTGTTGCAGCTCGTCTACAAGCTTTTTTTACATCCTGACTTTGTTTAAGAAAGCAGCTCCAGGCAAAGAACATTCATGCATTTTGGAAATGCATGAATGTTGTGTGTACATTTGTGTTTTAAAAGCAAGGACTAGTTGAGTCTCAGGTGCTAGGAAGCTGCACTCTGCTTTCCTTAAGTTAAATGAGATGAGAAGCATTTAGAGCACAAGTGTCAAACCTTAGGGCCGTGGGCCAAATCTGGCCCACCGCAGCATTTTATGTGGGCCTCTAGACTCCAGGCAAATATGACATCAATCAGTCTCTGTAATTTTTGTAATTATGTGAAAATTCCTGCAGTTTATTGCAAATTTTCCAGAAAAATTGTCAAAAAAATTGAATTTAAGTGACGGTTAACTCCCACCTGCAGGTGGCAGTGTTTCTTACTTTTATGACTTCTGCCTCAGCCTTACTGGATGTCAAATTGTAGTCAAAAAGTCACTTTTAACGTCATATATTTTCTAAGTTAGCGCCACAAAATCTGTGATTTTAATTGCAAAAATAAAATCGCAACAAAAAACAGTCTAATTTTAAGAAGTAATTATCGACAGGTATTTATTAACGTCGTAACGGTTTAATAGGTTTAATCTGACACAACAATCCTTGACAACATTCATAATGTCTGATTTAGAGAGGAACATTTAACCACCAACGCATCTACAAAGATTTCCTTAATTCCAGATTTCATTGTGCAATCTCCTCAAGACGTATAATTTAAGAAACAACGGTGTGTTCACTCCACCAGGGAAAAATAAACTGATTTAATGCAAAAATATGCAGATTTAGAACACCTTTTGTAAATGAGACACAAAGTGGAAGAATGAAGCAGCCAGACGGGCTGGGAGAGAGAGGAGGGGTGAGAGATAAGCTGGACAATGAACAGGGATGAGAGTAGAAAGAGGTGGGAATGATGGAGGAGAGGACTGGATGCCCCACATAAAGATTTGGGAACATAAAGAAAAATCACAAAGGAGAAGAGGGGAAGAAAATTAAAGAAGTACAAGAGTCTGTGATTCATGAAGGTCGCAGACAGTGAGCATCTCTGGGGTGATTTAAAGCGCTCACCTCCCACAAAGGGAAACGGCAGACAGAAGGTAAACAGGAAGAAAAGTAGAGGAGAGCAGGAAAAGATGGAGGAAGCGTAAAATAAAAGCATAAAGCAAAAGAATATATAAGTGGAAAGGAGGCGGGAGAGGGGATGAAATGGTGGGAGGAAGAGTGTCTCTGAGGATTGTGAGAGCTGCATTTTGCAAGTGTCTGTTTATATTTCACAGAGCTCAGAGGGAGACAGGGGAGTCATTGTGTTAAAAAAGGGAGAAATGGAAGAGGCTCTCCATGATGGATACGGCACGCTGAGCCATAATGACTCAGTTCAGCGTGTTCAGATGATGCGGATCTTTGGGGAATTGGCTTGTTTTGTTCGGCGCTGGACAGAATTATCTGAATTATTAGGCGGCCATGCCTTAGAGGGTCGCTGGAAATAACAGAAAGAAATGCATTTTATTATCGTTTAAGGATACTCAACATTGTGTTGCATAAAATACAACTTTATAGTATATTTCTTGCAGAGCTACCTGTATGAGCAGCTGATACACACCTGCTATTTGTTGTCATTTTGTTTATTATGTGACATGAGATCAATAAGTTTTGACGTATGCATCATATTTCCAAACCGGTGAAAATTTCTGCTCTGGAAAAAATGAAGGGAGCATTTAAAACGATCAGTTCCTCAGATTTTACGCTTTCCAGATTTTAAGATGGAAAAAGAAAATTCACATTTAGTTAAACACAATCAACTTTTTGTTGTTTATAGGAAGTGACCGGTGGGATAAGAATTCATTTTAAATGGCTTTGGAGGAATGCAGATCTTGCAGAGCAATAAGTTTCAAATTCATATCTAATTACAGCACCTTTGTGTTGTAATCAATCCTTTTCTTTCAGCGTCTTGTGCTGGCCCACTTCTTCTCTCCCTCTTTTTAAAAGTTTTCCTGTTTGTCAAAGGCGTATTTTAACTCCCTCCAGTGGGATCTGTATTCTGGCTTGTGATTAAAAGAAACTTTTTTCTTTTTGTTCACATTTTCTGGTCTTTGTTGCTCAAACCCCCCAAGACTTTTGGCTCTTTTTAAATATTATAAATCTGGAAGCTGAGGAGTAAACAAAGTCTGTTTTAGTCAATTTGAGTGAAATTTTGGTTTAGCATCAGAAAATCAAACCCTCAGACCTGGAGATGTGCTGAAATTAAAAAGTCTGTAAACCAACAGTCTTTCACCTCCACACTGACTCCATATATAAACAAATTAAGGGCACATGAGAAGTAAAAATGCTATTTTTTCCCCTTCTGGCCCTAAGTGTCCTCTTTCACACACTATTGCAGAAAATTGCCCTTTGAGGGGCTAAACTGCACAGAAAACCTTTCCTCTAAGCTTTCCTGATCCCGACATAAACATTGAATCAAGCCTGATTCATAGAAGCTCAGTGCAAAACATCCCAGTTCATCCCTGCAGTCCGGTCCTCTGGTTCTGACTGTTCACAGTTGTTTTGGTTGGCAGTTTGTCAAATCTGATTCAGAATGGGCAAATGCCTTCCCGCCAGCCAGACTATTGATTATAGTTACTTGAGCCAATAAATTAAATGGTTTCTTTATGTCGTGTGCTCAGAGATGGATTCTGCTTTGAACTGGCACCTTGTGAATTTAGAAAACATTTCCAAAGTTAAGTCAAGGTTACAGCTTCTGGAATGATGACTTGTCTAGACAGTCTGACATTAATAACGTTGAGCTTTTAATGTATGTTTTTTTCATGGCTAAATTATTTTACAACAAAGGGCTTCAGTGACTTTTTTTAATAAAGAAAGAGTAGCTACACAAGTTTGAATGTTTTCCTGAGATATTAGAGAAGTCATGATTATTAATACACATTCAAACCATTTTAACTGGAATTAAGAGAAAAAAATGTACAAATACAACTTTTCAGCAAGATATAGGAGTTTGTTTTTAGTAAATAGTTTCTTAATATCAATGAAAAAGCACTATTTCCAAATTCACTTATAATAAGACATTTTTCCATATTGTAAGTGGAATAATTTGCCAATGGAGGAAATACTTTTTCATCATCTAATGACTTCTGAAAAAACAAACTATTTTTAAAACATCATCCAGAAGAATGAGGTTTTCTGCAGCTTTTTGTCCATTTATGTTTCATTATGTTTGAGTTTGACTCATGCAGATATGACAAAGTTCACACTTATGCATCCAATTATTTTTGAAGTTCTTTGCTGTATCGTCATTCAGCTGTGAAAGAAAAATGGTTCAGAAAAATCCATGCTGATGATCCGGGTATGCAAATTTCTGACACAAAAGTGGAAAAATAAGTAAAAAAATAAATGAAACGTGGGTGATAGAGTGAAAAGAATCTCTTCTGTTTTCATCTGTTGAAGCAATACGAAAATCTGTTTCTAATGAATCTTTTTTTAAAAACATTACATGCATGTTATATAATATCAGCCGTTTGGTGGATGCTTTGATCTGCAGTGCGGCACATTGTGTGGAAACGCTTTCAATGTGGCATCCAAACACTGTGTGGGGCTTTTTATCTTCAGGATGTTATGTTATGCTGACAAAATCTGACTTTATTCTGCAGGTTGAGATTTTTACTGCATCTGTGTGGCCTGCTGACACCACACAACATAAACTTTATATAAACTTAAGTGAGAATAGCGCAGAGAAAAACAAAAAGCATCCAGTCAGTCTTGGTGGCTTTTCGGGGTCAGCAAACAGAGCAGGTGGAGGGTCTGAGGAAACAAGCTTGTGTTGCTTGAAGGCCGGGAGGATTAGATCGGAAGGACGCCGTGTTAGCACCTGTTCCTCTGATTGATGTGTCTTGGCTCCTTCTGCATGTCGCCGAGTTCCCTGCTGGGCTCCTGGTCGTCGCTCGATCATACGCACGCACAAACACACCGCTAGGAATGACTCAGAAAAGACAAAGACAAGAAAACTCAATATTTTTTTGTCTGGCCCGTTCGTCGCTCTGTGTTTGTCCTTCAGAGACAGCAGAGGAGGAAAATAAAACATTCTGCTGGATAGCTGCAGGTAGCAGGTCTCCGCGCAGACAGACAGGAACATTGTGCGTTTTCTCTCTGCCTTCAGCTGTCATGTCATCTGTCCGGCTGCTGCTTCAAAAACTTGTTCCTCTGTTTCATTGCTTGTGTTTTGGGCTGAGACTGCTCTGACAAGAAGGAAAGCAGGAATCAAGCCGTCCCTCTAACTGCTGTTGCCACTTACTGCTCCTGTGCCCTCAGGGTAGTTTCTGAGTGCATCCTGTCCCGTGTTTTGTAAAATATCTTCTCCAGCAGAGTTGCTCTGCTGAGCAACAAGACAAATGTGAAAATCTGAGAGATCTCCTTCCCATAGAGCATCTTCTGAAAAATCAGAAGTAAAGATAATTTCATTAGTTTTGCTTAAGCTGTCATTTTGAAACCAAATTAGCAAAACTAAGATGTAATAAATTATGTTAAGTTGGTAAAAGAAACATTTCTTTCAGTGCAGAGGACATCACTGTTTTGTTTTTGCTACTAATTCTTGTTTCATGCAACAATGATTATATTTATAGAAACAAGTAGCTGAAAATCAGTCTGCAGAATGAATGTTTCTGCATTAAACCATCCATTCAGAGAAGCAAGCAGATCTTTCTGTGTTTCTCACATTAATATCTATTTGGCATAAATCAAAAATGATTACACTTCAATTAAGGAACAAAAAGCGCAAACAATTGCAACTGGTAATCAGAATTCATTTTATCATTAATCAGCCTAATGTCTCTTTGCTGATAATTCAACAGAGTAAAAAGAAACAAAAACAAATAAAATCAATCCTCCAAATACTCTGCAGCACAGATGAGAAGTTTTAGAGAAATCTGATGAAAAATTAAAAATCTTGAGCTTTCAGGAGTTTAACCCTTTAGTTATCACCCCCCAAAAATGCTTATGCCAAACAATGTTTACTGACGTTGCATTATGTTTTTTAAATTTTGTCTTTATAAAGTGTTTTGTCACAATCAAAATGAAACTGAATACCTGCCTCTTACTGAAAAGTCAAATTGTGTTTTTAAAACTGAACAGTCGTATGGTTTTCATGATGCAGATCATTCCTGGTCAAATCCTGGCTGAGATAATCATGAAGACACAGCTGCTGAAAATTACCTTGTCTTTTCTGTTTTAACCTTATTATTCTGCACAGTTCTACACTTGTTTTACGGTTGAAAACAAACTGTTTCTAGTTGTGGCTGAAGTTGATATCATCGCCTGTGTTGCTTTTTTGCAGGCTACCTCAGAAAGGGGAAATGAAGACTAGATTGTTGGAGTCTGCATTGAAATTGCTGTTTGTTAGTGACGCCTGCTGGGTTTGAAATCGATAGTATTTCTGCTTTCTTCTATTCCCATTTCTGTGTTTGTGTGGGAGTTTCCATAATTACAGAGCAAATCACTCAAAAAGGCACCAGAAACTGTAAGTTAAGACTTCTGCACAGAATGAAGCTTACATGTACATCATGATGTGAGAAAAATATCACTTTTTAACTAATATATATACATTTTCATAATGCTCACCTGGTTGATTTGATTTGTGTTCAATCAATACCTCATTTCTATTGGCTGGGCACATTTTTAAAGTCAATTGTGTTTCCAACAAAAGCACTCAAGATGATAAATTATATAAATTTCCAAGGACACAAATTATTAAACAGGAAATAATTAAATACCAAGACAAATGTTGTGCACTTATATAATCCTTTTTTAATCTAGTTGAGGTTCCACAAAGCACTTCACAATGCATTTCTCATTCACAGACAGCCTTTCTATTATGTATTTGCACTCTGGATATGTCGTCCTTTTTAATATCGTTCAGCCACTAGAGGAAGGATTTGGGAACAAATCCTCTCTCCAGTTTGGAAAACGTCCAGACGCCAAGTGATCTGTTGTGTTTGGGGACAAAGAATAATTCAGAACCATAAATTAAACTTGGAGGTTAGGTTTCCTAAAAGAAAAAAAAATCTACTTATTTTTACAGCGCAAGATGAGCAAGACTATCGTTCCCTTGCTAAAATGAGCATCTTCTCCTGTTACAACTCTTCCTCATCTCTACCACCATTGTCTGCCAGTTCTGTTTTCTCCATCTGCCTCTCACTACTTCATTCATCTGGCTTTTCTTGAACTTCGTCAGACTTTCCCTTTCTCAGCCTCCCTCTTTCCGCCATGCCTGCCTCACAGAGGCCATCTGTTGTGCTAAACCATGCGGCTGATGGTATTCCAGGTTGCCAGCGATGTAAATATTCCAGACATGCTCGCGGGTTTCAGGACGCTGGGCGGTATTAGTGGGGTCTGCTGAGAGCTTCAGAAAGCAGGTGAATTTTTTGGATCAGTGGAGGTAGAATAACAGTCTGATTTTAAAAGAGAAGCAGGTGACAGCTTCATAAATCATCTTGAACATCTACAAACAACCACGGAGACGCAAACATGTCTCTGTTTTTACTGGAATTATTGAAGCTATTAGAGGGCTTGTGCGGTTCTGCATGTTGATGTCAAATATCTAAATAACTTGCACCATTATTTAGGAACTTCTTCCTTTAAATGCAATCAGAATTTCACACAGAATTAGACTAAAAGTAGCAGCAGTGTTCCTTCACACGACCAAATATTTTCTAATTTTGCTGATGTGTCTGTGTCACTTTGTTCCCCTGCAGTTTGACATGCAGCAGCTGTCTCTGGATGAGCTCAAGCAGGTTCTGTTTCACGCCTTCCGGGACCACCTGACGATGAAGGACATAGAGAACATCATCATCACGGAGGAGGAGAGCCTCAACGAAACCTCAGGGAACTGCCCTGAGTACGAAGGAGGTGAGGAAGCAGCTCTCAGGGAAGGTTTTGGTCCTCTAATGAAGACTTGAAAAGTTTCTCAAGGGAAATATTGTGCTCTGTTGTTATTGCTGTTATTTTACAAAGTCAACACTAAGGGACTGAAACGTTTGTTATCAATTTATATGATCAGAAAACAGAGTGAAATATTGTTTTGCTCTTTTCCCAATTGGCTGATTAGAAGACTGTAAATCCTCTAAGAGAGACCACAGACCTAAAAGTGCTTCACCTAAAGAATCAGAATAAATATTTATGTTCTTCTGTTGATACTTTGCAGTCATGAACATTTTGAAAGTTAATGTTGCTGTTTGTAGAAGAAAATACAACGATCCAGCAACTGCTATTGATTTTACATCAGCAATCTGCTATTTGAATGAATACAAAGTCGTTTTCAAAAAGGGGAACAAATCAGTAATTGTTAGATGAATGTAGCACATTCTAAGAATCTGGATGTTTCACCCAAATATGAACCAAATGGGTTCAGGTTCAAAGTCTTTTATCTTGATTTATTTTGTTTTCTATGACGTCACATGAGGAAATAACGTGTTGGACGTGTTTCCTTAAAATACCTCCATTGGTGATCCTCCACACTGCAACATGCCGTATTTAATTTACAGTAAATACCCATAGCTGTGGATGCCAGAATTTTACAGCATAAATACGGATTTTCTGATAAAAATTCTGTGATTGCATGTTTGCAGAGTACAGGGTTTCCCCCAGAAAACTCGCTAAGCCTGGTGCTCAGCGTACTAGAGTGGAAGTCATCCAGGCAGCCGCCATGTTTTTGAGTTAAAAAATGTTTAAAATTGTCAGAAAAATTTAAAATATCGCCTGATAGTTATGCGTTATTGGAAGACTGGAAGATTAATACCTAAACACCAACTATAAAGTTTTTTAAAAAATGCAATAATAAATAAATGAACAATGCTAAGCCTGGTGGGGACACAAGTAAAGCCTGGGGGCCCACCAGGCTTATAATACACTGTGGGGAAGCCCTGATGCATATATATATATATATATATGAATTTTAGAAAAGTAATAAAAATCCTTTAAGAATTAATTTTCTGTGCATTTTGCATACAAAAGCAGTTCAGGGGTCTTCAGTCTTTGTCCTCTGCAGGTTTTAGATGCATGCAAAATAAAATTCTGGCATTTCCTGTTGGTCTTGGTGTGCAGACTGAGGTATTCCTCATAAAAGAGAAGGAATTAGGAATTAATGCAGAAGTGTTGGTTGAGGAGATGATAAGGGGGTAAAGGACTGGTTGTACCTTGGAGTCATTGGAAGAGTAAAATTAGGAGTTTTAAAAAGAGGAAATGAAAAATCACCCGTCTTTTTCCCCACATTAACCCTGATCTCACATCCTCCTCTTCCCTCTTTCATGCCGGCTTCTTTCCCATCCGTCCAGTGGGACCTCTGTACCTTTGACAGTTTCTCTTAGATCCAGCAGTCGGAGCTTTGACGCTGACTTATTGATGCAGTGTGTGATTCTAACAGGCTGAGACATGAGACCTGACAGAGAGGAAACTTTTGGCTTTATACTTCGACCTGTTGGAGAACACATCTGTCTCTTCTTAGCGCGCTCGTTTTAAATCTCCGGGAGGTTCTGTCTTTGGAGAACAAAAGCTCTCTCAGCCCAAACAGCAGCGGAGCAAAACTTCCTCCTCCGTCTTCCTTTCTTTGTTTTTGCTGCTGCTGTACAAGTTTGTAACCAGTCTGAGCCCGTATGTACCATTCTTTTTACATCAGAGATGATGCTCTCATAATCTGGGTCACAGACATGAGAAGCAAAACAAGGCAGCAGGAAATCTTAGCTGCTGTGTCATTTATATTTGTTTCAGTCAAAGAGCCGGTGGATCCCTGGGGAGCAAAGAAGAAATCCTAAAACCTAAAATTTTAATCTTGGTTCAACAGAAGACACAGGAATGAATTTATTACTTCGGCAGCTCTAAAATATTTTAGCATGATTATAGTTGACAGTCTCAGAAGTCTGTATTTAACATTTTATGGCTGGTGTTATGAACTCAATGGTTGTGCAACTGTGCCCAAATTAGATGAGTGAATCCTTTATAACTTTAAACACAAGTGCATAAACGTCACCATCAGATTCTCGAGTCCTGGAATCGAGTTAAATTAAGGGTATGTTTCCTATTCTCTGTTGCTAATTATGAATCACCAGGAATGACAAAACATTCTCATGTTTTTCTTTCTTATTCTTTTCATTCCTTCCAGTTCATCCTAAGAAGAAGAATCGGCAGACATGTGTCAGGAAGAGCCTGATCTGCGCCTTTGCCATGGCTTTCATCATCAGTGTCATGCTTATCGCAGCCAATCAGATGCTGCGGAACGGCATGGAGTGAAACCAGTTGCACTGTGAGCATGGGGAGCGGGACAGAAACAGCCATGACCTCACGTTTTCTCTTTGCAGCCAAAGCTGGACCAGCCACAACCCAAACACTTCTCAAAACAATCAGTTGACTTTGTTTTCCTTGTTTTTGTGTGAATTATTCGTAGAAAACGGACAGTGTGGATTAAACGTGGAGAGGTTTGATTGTTTTGCAACGAAGATGTCACCAGTTGAAGTCACTTGAATTTTAAATGCAAAACAGTTATGGTTTTCTATAAATTGTGACACTAAACAAGAATTACTTTGCTGTTTTCAAGGTGAAAACAACCCTTTAAACTTAATTTTACGATTACCAGAAATGCTTATCAGGTGCTTTGAGCCATTCTTGATTATTAAAACAATGAATACATCAGAAAGCTGCATATTTACTCTGGAAATGTGCAGGAATGTGAACTGAGTGAATGTGAGCACTCTATCCTGGCCACAGCGTTGAAATTCATACCAGTTTCCTCACATCTCATGTAGCCGTGCATCAACGTCACGTTTAGCGTGAAGCATTTGCATCTTCAGCTCAGTCTGCTGTTTGTGCTACTGCGTCAGATCTTTATGTGTATCTAGAGGAAGCACAACTCAGCTCTCAGAAAGGGACCACTGGATTCCCATCACGTCTTAGTCTGATGTTTTTGTGGTGTGGAAAAGACAATGTATATAGATAATTTACAAAAACCTCACGAGCGTTGTAAAAATAGACCAAGCCGAACTCAGTTATTATCATGTATGCGTTTGTGGGGGAAATGCCTCATATTTGCATTTCATTGTTATACAGCTCATGTGTAGGACCCCCTGACACCAGGACAGGATATATTTTGCCATTAACTGAAGATTTCCCCATAAATTTTGCTACCTAGCTTATGTAATCTTTTACTCCTCGCAATAGCAGAAAGTACACTGCAAAAACACTAAATGAGCTTTTTGGAGTCAATAATTTCTCAATATAACATGGGGGAAACATCTTGTTATAAATGAAATAATATTCCAGTGGAACTAAAACTTTTTCAACAATATTAAGGAATAATTTATTTAAAACAAGCTCATATTTCTTGCTGAAAAGTTACTTGTAAATTAGTTCTGTCTCATTTCAAGTGAACTAAGATATTTGCACTAGAAACTAGAACAAAAATACTTGCTAAGATTTTGTGTTTTTGCAGTGAACAAAGCTTTAATATTTTCCCTCTGGCCACTTTATTAGATTCCTCTGTTAACACAACAATAACATGGCAGCAAGTCGCTGCATTTTGGCGACTTTGAACCTGGCAGGATTGTTGGTCTGAATATTTCAGACACTGTGAATCTACAGTTTCATGCTCGCCCATCTCTCACAGAGAATGGCCCAAATATCCCTGGAGAAGCAGCTCTGAGGAGAAAATTTCCTGTTGATGTCAGAGGAGGATGATCAGACTGGTTTGAGATGATGTAAGACAAATGTAGCTCAAATAACATGTCTTCAGCTGCAATATTCAGCTTTTAGAAACAGAATTTGGTGTATAAAACATGAAATCACAGCACAGGCTGCTGGTGATGTAATGATGGAGAAGAGTACTTTCAATTTCGGCCCCTTGGTACTAATCTGATAATCTCCCTTCCTTTACGGGCTCAGTGGACCTATTTCCTGAAGGATACTTTCCGCAGGTTAATGGTCCGTGTGAGGAAGCTAAAAATCTTCTTAAATTGAGAAGTAGTTCAATGCAGTCCTCCAGGGGTCAATTCAACAGAGCACCTTCATATCATGGATTCACAGCTAACAAATCTAAATCAACATGTGAAGACGGACCAGAGGACCGTTTCTGACCCAAAGGTCAATCTATGCTACGGAGAATCAAGGTCCGGATCAAAACTAACAAGGTGTACCTAATAAAGTGGAAGGTGAGTCAGGACATACAGGAGGCGTGTAGTTAAGTTCTTGGAAAAGGTTTCCCTCTAGTGGTCAAAACAGAAACTAAAGCTTAATCTGAGCCTTCAGATGTGTTGTTGCGAGATTATTTTGTTGTATATCTATAAAAAATATATATATTCCCATTTTTCTATTTCTTTTTTTTTTTTTTGCTCAGGACTTAATGAAAACTGTAATATTTTCCAGGCATTTTTTTTAAAATCTGTGCCGTTTTACAAGAAAATGAACTTTGACACACTTTAAAACCACACAAGATCACCTCACACCCACAGAAATGTAACTTAAGGATGGAAATGACCAAATGAAATATCTGCTCCAGATTATAAATAATGTATTTACAAACAGATATGAAGAATATGTGGGACGTAGTAACAAAAACTTGGTTGATAGACATGGGCTGGCCTTCATTTGTACAGCAGCAGGGTATTAACACAAAAGTTTGAAATAAAATTATCTTACAGAATCTAATATATTTTAGAGTTTAGTTTTGTTCATTTAACAGAAAAGTCTCTGTTTTTCCTATACAGCAGCCTAAATGAGATTGAAGGATGCCGTTACTTTTAACTTTAACGTCATCACTGCGAAATTTTACTAACAACCAGAGATGTAGTAGCTTCATTTCAGCCAGCTGACAGCAGTGTGCAGCATCACACAGCCAGAGAAGATTCTGCTCAACCTGGATTTTTTTCTGGCAGCCCATTAACATGACTTTAATCTGGAGGAACAAAATTAAACCACATTTTTTAAAATTATGGTGCTCTGGTACTGCTAACCAGCCCATGTCTAATCAATAAATTAGTTTTTTAAAGATAATTATGTGAATATAAAGTATCTTGTATCATAAATGTCACTTCAGCTAACCTGTCCAGCCCTGTGTAGATCATTGCTCCTGACTTTGACTTCATTATATTCATGTGCAAATGAAACCAGATATCGAAATACACTGTACAAAAAAACATTACCACTTTTATCAAAATCTGACAAAAAGTCGGGCGAAAATTCTCCTGTCTTTTAAATAACAAATATGATTATGGTCAAACATTTCAGTTTAGCTTCATTCGAAGACATGAAATGTCTATAAAATCTAAGGTCTTGGTTGTTGTGTGTACAAATTATAATCTGGCATTTATGCTGCTTTTAGAGTAAATGGCTTCTTCCTCTCTGAGTGGCTTTCCTGTCCATGTCGGTCCAGGACTCATTTCCTGACTTCGGCCAGGATTTTCACATTTTTGTTTTTGATAAGCACATTTTACACCAAACCTCTGGTGCACAGAAAACATCTCTTTCCTAAACAAAACACAGATGGGCATTTCTGTTCTGGTTGGGGCGTCGGCAGTCATTTGAGTTAAACATTTTTTAAAGTTGCCAGTAAATTTGAAAACATCACTTGATAATGATGTGTTATTGTAAGATTAACTTATGAACACCAACTAAAAGTCTAAAAATGCAAACATTAAGAAAAGCTTAAATAAATAAGTAATGCTAAGCCTGGGGGAGGCACAAGTAAAGCCTGGTGGCCCGCCAGGCTTATAACACACTGGGAGAAACCCAGGCCATATAGGGAATGCTTTGTTTCACTACACAATGAACAAACTGTATCTTTTTATACAGTGTATATAAATATCTGGTTTCTACTCTGTGTGGATTCCCTAACTGCATGGTGCTCCCTTTGGGACAAACATTGGACCGGAGACTAATTGTTCCCTTTGGACAAATCTCTTACAATATTCTGCTGGGGGGTTTTTGGACTGTTGCCCATGTGGATCAAACCTGGGGCAGAACTTTCAGTCAAGCTGAAGTGCATCCATGTGGGTTTACAGGACGACTTTGTGAAAATGTAAAGAAAAAAAAATCAGCGAGAGGACGTTTTCTTTCAAAACAAGGTCAAGTATCACAGCTAAAATGTATAATACTGTAAATCAGCGAGCATGTTGTTGTCACGTCGTTAAAGGGATTCAGTTCCTCTTTCCTGTTGGTTTAAATGTAATTATGTATGTATTACTGTCACACATTTGACTTAACTATTTATACAGTAATAGCCATTTTTATAGTTTCTACCAGCTATTAATCAAATCAGAGAGCAGAAGAGGGCATTTTCATAAATATGCAAATACAAGGTCACACCGTCATCATCATCCTCATCATCATCTACGTGTCGCTTCATCTTTAGAAGAGTCTCACTGTGGATGGTTCTACTCACTGATCCAGTATGTCATGTATTTTAATAACTTGCGAGTCTAATATAATATCCTCATTGTCCTCTACAAACTTCTGCCGTTTATCTTACGTTTATTCTTGGACGTCCATTTGTCTTTGAAATTCCCGGCACATTTGACTTAATGTTTTCCTTTTCCTGTCAGCGTCACGGCCCTTTTGAAACCAGCATTACTCACTTTATCCCTGCAGTTTATGTAAATTAAAATGTTTCATTTTGAGATCATTGCATGACTGTGCAAGGGAAACCCGTTTAAGGTTCACACTATTGTACCCATGCCTCTGTAAAAGGACAAGAACCAGTTTATGGTTTCCATGTTTTTGAAGTTTGTTTTTACCAAAACATGTTTTTACCAGTTGTATATTGTACAGAGATAAAACTACACACAGATAGCTAATACAACCTCGGCATGCTGCTTATAAAAGGAGAACGAAAACAGCAATAGTTACCAACTGAATGGATATTTAAAATGCAAAGTTTAATCTGAGTATTCTAAAAATCTATATCTATATATGTTTATGCAATAAAACTTTGTTTTGATAGAAACTGATGTACATGTGTTTACTTGTCTACATTCTAAAACAAATTTGGTCCAGTTAAAGAGTTAATATCTCATGTGAAAAAGATGAATATCTGACTTATTTTCTGCTGATTTTAGATTTCTATTGCGTTGGATTTATCTTGGAAATCAGATGATGGAATGATGGAGCAGCGGTGTTCGTACTGTTCTTATTGCAAGTCAGGAAACAAATGCTAATTTCTTTGGTTCAGAAGCTGAACTTTACATATTTTCAACTGTAAACAAAAAAAATTAAACTTCCAAGTGCATATAAAATACACAACTAAAGGAAGTGGGTAGACAAAAGTTCATCTTTGGTGCCGTTTTAAATGCAAACCTGTAAAAGAGAGAAATGTTCAATAGTTCTTTCGGGGATTGAGTCATAAAGTCCATGCAGGTCATAAACTTATGTGAGTTTGAAAAGACGCAAAAAAGAACCAATTACCAAGAACTGCTGCTTAAAAAACGATGAAGTCTGTGAACTAATGCTTCACTGCACGTCCTGCATAGCAGGTTCAGCATTGGGACTCATTGTCAATGTGCAGGTCAAATACAAGTTAGATTATCCTCCTAACTGATTCCCTCATCCCCTCAAACACCATTATCTGTCAGATAATGAACCCAAACACGCCATTATCTGGACAAACAAGGCATTAGACTCGTCTAATGGTCCAGGCAGACATTAGCAGCTTGCCTCACTGGCAAAATCCTTTATTAATTAAGGGATTTATGAGGTGATGAAAACTGCTTGACATCAAATTAAAGAAAAGAAATTCACGCTGAAGACTGTTTGCATAAAAAAAATCTTTATTATGAGGTATTCATTGTCAGTTTGATGTCGTAATAAAACGTCTACGTTTGTAACACTGCACTCTCCCGAGACTTAAGAACCAATTGAACACTGACAAGTAACAACATCATTAAAAAAAAATCCTAAACTAAGTTTGTTCTGGCATGTGGAATAATTTATAAGAAAAAAGGGTAATTTTAGACAGGAACACTGTTTGAGTTTTGATCTAGCCTAAATGCCATAAAAGACTCATATATAAAATGCTTTCATTGCAATGTAAACACCTACTTCTTTTATTGGCAGATAAAGGCACAAGTGTAACTATATGTTTACCTAGAAGGCTTCCTGAGCTGCAGAGTAACAACCAGCTGCAGAGAAGAAACCTCAGTTTGGACCTAACGCAACAAAGATGGAGGGTACAAAGAAGGTTCAAATATGTCAGATTTACAAATTATTTCCAACTGAGTGTGGCTGCTGGATCTTTCATGGTTCTTATCCACAGACTAAACATGTTGGGACAGTGAAGGTGGCTGCTGGTACAGATGTAGCTGAGGACGAATAGAGGAAAGTCAGAACTCTGTGTGTGTGTGAGCAAAGTCCCGGACGCCCGCTGGGCTCTCGCTCGGCTTCATGAAGACGCCCTCCATCACCTTCCACAAGCTGTGCTGGCTGGGATTCGACATGGCGTGGACCTCCATCTGCCCGTGGATTGGCCGCCCGTACTGCTCCCCCGTCACGGACAGCAGGCCGTCGGTGGATTTATGGCGGAAGCGGACCGATTCCTCGCGCTTCCATACAGCTCCGCTGCACTGGACTGTCCACTCGTCAAGGTGGTCGCCCTCCCCTTCTTCGCCAAACGCACTCACTTCCTGCAGACACGAGCGCCACCACGAGAGGATGAGGCATGTTCATTCTGGTATTGCTTCTTGTCTTTCTTTGTTTTTTTTGCATGCAGCAAAAGTATTGAGTCGCCCTTCAATTATTTAATTTTGTGTTCAAGCAGCTAAGCTTTGTAATGTTTGATCGACATTTTCATCTGAAAATCTTTATGAGTGTTTATCCAGCGGATCCAAGATGTTACTTGGCCAAAACGTTCTGGTTCAGCCCCAAATAATCCATATTCTTCTCTTAGAGTAGTGACAACAAAATCCTATTTTAACATCCTTTATGTTACTCAAATTCAACAGGGATGAATTTGAGTAACATGTACTGAATATGTTTTGGCTGAATGATGTTGGCTGTTTCTGACTAATATTTTATTCATTTATAATTAACTCCACTTTTAGCTGTTTGGATATTCTACTTTTCAGTGTAACAGTTTTATTAGATTTTTTCCAGTATTTTTGGAGGTTCTCATTGTTTTATTGTCTTGTTTTTACCTGATTTATACATTTTACATGTATTTTTGGCTGCATTCACACTGCAGCCCGAAGTGACCCGATTCTAATTTTCTGTCAAATCGGATGAGAAGAAGAAGAGCTCAGTGTTTGTGGAAGTAAACATGGATGCTAACGGTGGAGCGTAGCTTACACATCTGAAGTTGTCCGACCAGAGCAACATATTAACATCTTAAACCTCGTTATAGTCCGTCATAGTTGTTGTTTTTCTTCCCATCTGCACCTATCAGGACGTAGAATAGTGACGTTCACATTCAGTATCAGTGACGTTCTGGTCGGATGAATGGACCTGAACTTTAGGCCACGTTTGAGTCCAATACAAATTGGATACCCAAGTGGCTGCAGTGTGAACGCAGCCATACATCACCATCTGTTTGGATTGAGATGCAGAAAGGGTAATAATAATACCAAATAACACATAAAATCAAAATATATCAAAATGAATTATTATTATTGAAGCTAGACATTTTTTAATACTTTATTGACCTGAATCTGCTTTCAGTTAAATAATATAAATTTGGCCCGGAGCATAAAGAAATTCAAAGCGCAGCTTGTTGTTATTATTATTTATTTTACATTTGCACATATTAAATTTTGACTCAGTTACTGTGATTAGTCAAGAGGCTTAAACATGACTGGTGAATTCTGGCACATTTCTGAACCACTTTATTTTCTTTAAATAAGCCTACAAATTACAGGGCTGTTTTTTTACACGTGAATGATTTTAACCAACTTCAGCAGGGAGCTTTCTGTGTAATCCTTCTCATAACTATAAATCCCCTCCGCATCACAACACACACATCTACACTCACCTGTAAACCAACACTCACTCTATTAATAATTTGGTATAAATTAATCTAAAAAATCCTCCAGTTTCACTCACTCATCAATATTTCCAACAACACTTGCATTCTAATAAATTTATAACTATAATCGTTCCATTAATTAAATCAAACTCAAGTCATTTCCATTTGCGTAAATTATTATTTTTCTCTTCCTACCAAAAACTGGATAAACTAAAGTCTTCAATTTGGTGCTTTAGTCTCAACTAGCTTTTTGTTTGAAGGACAATTTTGTTTACAGAGACTCCAATATCAATTTTTATTTGTTTTTTCTGTTGTTTTCTTCATTTTGGATATTTAAAATGTTTTCCAGTTCCAGAGTTTAAAGTTAATTAATTATTGAGAATGCGTTCTGTCATTACAATGCAAAATACAAAATCTTGCCAGGTGTTTTTTTGTGTAGTTTCTAGTGCAAATATCTTAGTTATTTTCTTGATTTTTTATTTTTTTGAAATAATAATATTAACCTTAAAGTAACTCTTCAGAAAGGTATAGGATATTTTTTAAAGTAAATAATTCATTAATATTGTTGAAAATGACCAGATCCACCATCAGATAAATTCACCAATAACAAGACATTTTCCCATGTTATAAGTGAAATCATTTGCCAATGGAACTGTTACTTTTTCATCAATATTAAGGAATTATTTACTTAAAACAAGCAGCTATGTCTTGCTGAAAGGTTACTTCTCAGTTAGTTTTGTCTTAGTTCCAGTTTACAAAGATATTTGCGCTGGAAACACAACAAAAATACTTGATAAGATTCCTGTTTGTCTACTTACAAACAGGAACTTAATATTAATTGATAATGGTCTCAAAGTCAGTATGAATATGATTGTATTTTTTTTTGTTTATATTATGATATTCTGCTGTTGTTAAAAATGAGAACTTACCTTGTGAACGTTAAATAAAAATAAACAAATGAATAAATCACCTGATTGGAGGACAGCGGCGAGGCAAAGTAGTGGCTGTGCAGGTTGCGGCCCGTGTTGACGTGAGTCAGGCGAATCGTCTGGCCGCATCTGACCGGCGTTCCCCGAGTGCAGGAGGCGCCTCTCGTTCCCCGGATGCTCCAGTAGCTGTTACTGTCCTCCACTGCAGAGACGCCCGTCACAGACTGCTGCCCACTGCCTGCCGCACAGAGTCAGAGTTTACGGCTTCAAAGACATCAAACTGACTAATTTAGGAAATAAACAGCAAGTCTATTTACATTTTAGGTGTTTCAGCATTTACTGGGAATTATAGAACAATTCTTAATAGTTTACTGTAGGTTTGTCTACTTACAAACAGGAACTTATTTGTATTTTATGTGATTTTTTATTTTTTTTTAGATAGACCAAGTCAGTCACTGCTCTCCTTATGCATTGCTATGGGCATGCCCCAACAATAATATTCTGGGTTTGAGATCATTATCAATTAATATAATAATGGCTTAATACACTTGTTTTAGATTTCTTTTTATTATTATTATAAATTCTTATAAAATATTAAAAAACATGTTTTGATTGTCTTTAATTCATAAATAATCTCGTTGTTATTTCAGACTGCCACAATAAATCCCAGTAGCAGTTACAGGCTGTAAAAAACAGAATCTAAAATCATTTAAGAGGAATTGATCTGATTACAAGGCACTGTTTACTTCTGACCTAAAAGTACACATTTGAGCACTATTTTTGTAATTTGTTTTTGACTTGAGTATTTTATTTTCAGGGTATTTTCATTTTTAACGATACAAAATGCCTGATTAAACAGTAAAACCTCATTTAAGTAAACGAAAGGTCACAACGCATTGAAGGGACAGTAAGAAACAACATAAAAAGGGTCAAAACGACACATGATCGTGGAGGAAACCTTTAAATCTGCGTTATGTTCAGTTGTGGACACAAACAACCGACAGTATGCGACATGGAGCCAATATGAAGTGAAACATGTCACACTAACCACCTTTAAACACAGAAACGG